CCAGGCCCTGCAGCCAAAGCATTCAAGCATGAAAGGAGGCTGTATATGTGCACGTGAAATTACGTACCTTATTTATTGTGGGCCAAATGAGGAGCATGGTTTCTCCCCCCTCGAAATGATTCTGGTGAGGTTCAGCGAATGAAAGGCCTTTAGGACACTGTGTGGCACGTGGTAAAGACACAGTAAAGACCCACTTATTATTTCAGAGTGTGTGTGTGCTGCAATTTGCTCTGCTTCATCTTGCTGGGCCTTTACAGTGTCTCTATCCCAAGAGATGCTACAGTTTAAAGGTTCCAGCAAACAGGCTCACAGTGTGTTTCATTGGTTGGAACCTGCAGTGAAGGGCAAAGCAGGTGGCTCCCTGGTTCTCTCTGGGTGGCCTCAGCCAGCCAGAACTTAGTTTTGTTACCCACGGCTTTGCTCAGAAACTTCCAAGTGTCCTGTGAGGGCTGCGATAGGCAACAGTTCCGGAAACTGCTCCCTTACACACCCACACGCCCCCACACAGCTGTGCTTCGGAAAGCACTGCCGAGTGCTCTCTCCTGGCTCACCCTCTCCCCCTCTCTATTCACCCGCCTTCCCGTTCCCTGGGCTAGGAGTTGAAGGCCTGGGTTCAAGTTCTAGCTCACAGCTAGCTGTGTGAGCTGTGGGGCTTTGGATAAATCCCTTGCCCCTGGTGTCCTGGGCCGAGTAAGTGTACAAAAGTGTCCGTTGTGCTTCGAGACTTTCCCCAGCGTCTCTAGTCTGTGCTCCTCGGGTGCTGCACTTCTTATGCCAGTTTAGTGCCAGAGCCATCCGTCAACTTAAGCATGTGTCCTATTTCTCCTGCAGCTACTAAGATTTTTTTTTTTAAGGGATTCATCCCAGGAAATATTTAAAGGTACACACGTAGGAAACGATTTTAAGGTGTCAGACAAGACGGTGGTTCCTGAGGAGGAGGACGTTGGCCGATCGATAAGGCTCTATTTCTTGATCCAGGTGTTTGGGGTAGGGGTATGTTCACTCAGGAAAATTCATCAAGATGCATATAGTTTTGGAAGAGAATGCTTTGAAAATGATGATGGCGGTATATGTGCAAATGTGCTCGACACTTTGGAGGAATGTATGGATTGTGCTAAGAGATGTAAGAGCCCCCAATAGAATTTTTTTTTTTTTAAAGAAAGAAAATACAATGGCTTTCGCCAAGCTCACTTTAGTCTCAAAATGAAATCTAGATTTCAACCCTTTAACGAGCTTCTTTGCTGAAGATGTGCCCAATAAAATATGTGTTTTGATTTCTTGACAGCTGTTTCCAATGGTAATGATTATACATCCAAATAAAATATAAACATATTGATTTGAAAAAAAGATCCACATAGTTTTATATTTGTACTTTTCTGCAGGGATGTTTCAATAAAGTGGGGGGTGTACAAAAGAGATAAGATAATATAGAGATACGTCTTCTCCTGTGCCCCAGACTCTCAATTCCCCTCAGAAGACGCTCTGCTGAGCATTCTGGTGTGTCTTTGTAAAGCGTTTCTAAGTATAACTAAGTGTATGGATACAGACTTCTTTTCTTTCCTTCAGATAGATGGCAGCTAAATTTATCAGCACACTGTTCTCTGTCTTAGTTGCATGTCGTTGTTTTGCACTTCTTGCTATAGGTCAAGGATCATCCCATACTCTTGTATATGGAAGAGACCATGGTCCTCTTATTCATTGTCACAATCTCATACTGCAACATAGGTGAACGTCTAGCATATAAATATACTGATTAAATAGATGGGCTATCTTCTAGAAGGATGTCTGGTTGCAACTGTAACTCCTGCCTGGGGTGCTGAACCCCACCGGAGTCCAATGTATGGGTACACATGGTAAAAGCTAACATATCAGAATTCAAGAACGAGGGGGCTCTTCTCTTAAAGGATTGCCAACTCACCAGTTCAACGGAAAGTTCTACTGCATGGATGCAAAAGTAAGGTGAAGTCACGAGTTGCTCTCATGTCTTTTTTGAAAGAATTACTTTTTTTGTTTTTTGCTGTGAATCAGGTGAAGGTTTACAGAACAGAATGCCCATTTTACAGTCATCAATTCATGTATGATCCTACATATATTATATGTAGAATCGGTTCC